TAAATTCTTTTAATAAAGAGAAGTATTTCATCACTTTCATTGACGATTTCTCGCGTTATGGATATGTCTATTTACTATATGAGAAATCTCAAGCAGTAAATGCCTTAGAAAGTTATATAAACGAAGTGGAGAGACAATTAGACATAAAGGTGAAAATTATCAGGTCAGATAAAAGTGGTGAGTATTATGGAAGATATGATAAAAGTGGACAACACCCTGGTCCGTTTGTTAAGTTTCTTGAGAAGCGTGGTATTTGTGCTCAATACACAATGCCAGGCACACCGCAACAAAATGGTGTGTCTGAAAGGCGTAATCGAACCTTAATGGATATGGTTAGAAGTATGTTGAATAATTCATGTTTACCTGTATCGTTGTGGATGTATGCTTTGAAAACTGCCATGTATTTGTTGAACAAGGTTCCTAGTAAAGCGGTTCAAAAGACTCCTTTTGAGTTATGGACTAGTAGGAAACCTAGTTTAAGACACCTACATGTTTGGGGTTGTCAGAAAAAAGTAAGAATTTATAATCCGCAAGAAAAGAAACTGGATGCAAGAACAATCGATGGATATTTCATTGGTTATCCAGAAAAATCAAAAGGGTATATCTTTTACTGTCCTACCCATAGTACAAGAATTGTTAAAACTGGAAATGCTCGATTCATTGAAAATGGTGAAACCAGTGGGAGTGAAGTTTCACGAAATGTGGAGATTAAGGAAGTTAGAGTACAAGTTCCAATAACTAGTACATCTTCAAGAGTTGTTGTTCCAAATATTGTAGAATCGCACGACAATCAAGAAGAACAACAAATTAATGATCCTGAGATTAACAATGATCCGATAATAGAACAACCACAGGAAATAGTATTAAGAAGATCTCACAGAGAAAGAAAGTCTGCTATTTCGAATGATTACGTGGTTTATCTACAAGAGTCAGAAAATGACCTAAGTATTGATAATGACCCAGTTTCATTTTCAGATGTCATTAATGGTGATAATTCTGATAAATGGTTAGATGCTATGAAAGATGAACTTAAATCAATGACACATAATGGTGTATGGGATCTCGTGGAATTTCCAGAAGGATGTAAGAGTGTTGGGTGTAAATGAGTCTTTAAGACTAAGCGTGACTCTCATGGCAATATCGAACGTTACAAGGCCCATCTTGTTGCCAAAGGTTTTAATAAGAAAGATGACATTGATTATAAGGAAACATTTTCACCTGTTTCTAAGAAAGATTCCCTTAGAATTATCATGACATTAGTAGCTCATTATGATCTTGAGTTGCATCAAATGAATGTTAAAATTGTCTTTCTGAATGGAGATTTAGAGGAGGATGTTTATATGGATCAACTGGTGGGGTTTATTGAAGAAGGAAGAGAGCACATGGTGTGTAAACTTAAGAAATCAATATATGGACTTAAACAAGCTTCTCGACAATGGTATCTTAAGTTCAATGATACTATTTTGTCCTTTGGATTTAAGGAAAACACTGTTGATCGGTGAATATATTTGAAGGTCAGTGGGAGCAGGTTTATATTTTTGATTCTGTATGTTGATGATATCTTGCTTGCGACTAATGATCTTGGTCTATTAAGTGAGACTAAGAAGTTTCTCTCTAACAATTTTGAAATGAAAGATATGGGTGAGGCATACTATGTGATAGGAATAGAAATATTCCGTGATAGATCACAAGGACTGTTAGGTTTGTCTCAGAAAGCATATATTAATAATGTTTTAGAGAGATTTAGAATGGAGAAGTGTCCAACATCTCCCGTTCCAATACAGAAAGGAGACAAGTTTAGTCTCATGCAATGTTCAAAGAATGACTTGGAATGGAAACAGATGGAAAATATCCCTTATGCATCTATTGTTGGGAGTTTGATGTATGCTCAAACATGTACGAGGCCAGATATTAGCTTTGCAGTTGGTATGCTGGGTAGATACCAGAGTAATCCTGGATTGGATCATTGGAAGACTGCAAAGAAAGTCTTAAGATACTTACAAGGAACAAAGAATCACATGCTTACTTATAGGAAAATTGATCACCTTGAGGTGAGTGGATATACAGATTCAGATTTTGCTGGTTGTATGGATACAAGAAAGTCTATATTTGGTTATGTGTATCTTTTAGCTGGAGGAGCGATTTCATGGAAAAGTGTGAAGCAATTTGTCATTGTTGCATCCACCATGGAAGCTGAATTTGTGGCATGCTTTGAGGCCACAGTTCAAGCTAATTGGTTGCGGAATTTTATTTCAAGACTTGGAGTAGTCGACAGCATTGCCAAACCGCTGAAAATTTATTGTGACAATTTCGCAGCAGTCTTCTTTTCTAAGAACGACAAGTATTCCAAAGGTGTTAAGCATATGGAATTGAAATACTTTGCCGTTAAAGAAGAAGTTCAGAAACAGAGTGTCAATAGAGCATATTAGCACTGATCTTATGATTGTTGATCCTTTAACAAAGGGATTACTGCCCAAGTTGTTTGCTGACCATATAGTAAATATGAGCATTATGTTTACTAGTAGTGAATGTTGAATGTTAATGTTATTATTAATGTTTATGTGACACTCTGAGATCTTTAATGTATAAGTTTCTGAAATTTGTGTTTTCTTCTTTATTTATATGCATGCAAATTATGATGAAGAAAACAAATTATGTTATTATTATTAAAATGATATTATGTTTGAACTCATTATGGACTTCTCATTATAAAGTCATATTAAGGAGAAAGAGATAATATAGTGGTACATGGAAGGGAGCGTGTTGATTGAATGACATGTAACCGCCATGACTCTTGTTATAGTTGTATCTTTAATTATGAATAATGATATAGAAACAATTTATGTAAGGTCATTTAATGCACATTATGACTTAAGTATTAGATCACAGAATTTTGTGACATCACATGAGTCAAGTGAGAGAATGTTAAAATTAATTTAATTAATTCATTCCATTATGTGACTCATGTAAAATATAATGATGAACTCAAATGTGATTTAATAAATTATAAGGACTTATTGGTTATTATGTGAAGTCAGAATAAAATAAAGATAAAATAAAATATTAACTTACGGTAACCAACTTGATGGACGTTGATTAATAAAATGGATTAGGATTCTATCTCTGGCCATAGGGTTTTTTTCACGGTAAACCATCAAGAAAGCGTAAGAAGATAAAGAAAGACAAATAGATAGATTGGGAAAAGGAGATTGAAGAACGAAAAGATTGAAGAAAATATTCTCATGGATCAAGGTTAGTCTTCTTACTATGATTCATGTATTGATATATGTTAAATTGTGAAAATCAATAATCTAAAGATAATGTAGAGTAGTTTTCTATAATGAATTAAGAACGTAGGAAAACTACATAAAGGTTTAGATTATCTTCTCTCTGTTCGTCATTGCTCACATGTTTCGATACAGAAGCTTGGAATTTGATGATTGAAGGTTAGGTAATGAATAGCTTAAATGCATATGTTGATTAATGAAATTCAGATGTCGATAATTGAATTTAGTTTAAAAAAACTATTTGATTAAACTTAGTTTAATAAAAATTTAGTAAACTTTTCCTTGTATATATATTAATGCTCAATTAGTCAATTTAGAATCAATTAATCATTATAATGGATCATTAAATTGGTCGAGAGAATTAATCCATTTAAATTAATTGTCTTCTCTCTTGATTTTGTTCTTGATTATTTTTAAATTTTGTATAAATGAAACAAATATTCTCTTCTTAATTTTTTTTTCTATATATGTATGACATGTATTTGATAAATTTTAAAAAAATCAATGATCCTAAAAAATACTCAGGATTTAATAAATCTAGCGACATTTTTACTTTTCATTGAATACCATCTGAGCGAGTTATTACACTTGCATCATTTGTTTATTACATCTATGACAAATAACTATGATGAAGTTTGTAAAAAAAAATTATAATAATAAAGATAAAGAAATTCTTAACAATTTCTCAACTTCAAAGATATCTCAATAATGTTGTGAAAAGGAAAAGTAGTTCACTATAAGAAACTGTTACAACGATATTGTCTATTTTACTCCTAAATATTTTTGGGCTATAACATTAACTACGATTTGTTATTTATAAAAGACTCTTTTTCCTCAATAAAATATGAACTATGGAAAGATAAACACACATAATATATCTTATTTTTTATCCATTTGAGTGTTAATGTTTCATTTTAAACACCAAGAAAAATCTTGGAAAGTTTGACTCCAAGAAGAGTGGATATTCTAAAACATCTAAGGCTTATATAATCTATATCTTTATAAAATGTAGTGTAAAATATGTAATTCATGTAATGTTGAATAACTAAATCTAATAAGAAAATTATTAGTTAAGTTATATATATATATTTTTCTCTAAAGGTTAAAAGTCCACTTTACAGAGAGACCAAATTTTATGCATTTTAAAAATTAGAGACTAAAACTAATATTTTACAATCCAAACCCAAAAAATAAGATTTGAAAACATATTCAAAGTCTAAAAAAATTGTCAATGTTATTTGTCACAGTGAAAATAATAACGACATCTAAAAACGTTTTATTTAAGATATAATCCTAAAAAAGTACTTTCATTGAATAATAGTTCATAAAAACTCTCATTCAATATCCTAATTTATATATAAAATAAGGACATTTATATTTTACATATATCATAAACAAATAAACAATATCTAATTTCTCTGTATTTATAAATTTTGATAACAATAATATCTTTATTTCACAGACATGATAATTCTAAAAAAGGTTGTCTTATATATAAAATAGAATAGAAACAAAAACAAAATCTTATCTAGTACGAACAAGAAAACATGTGATGCAGAGGGACTAGAAGGTGGCTTGGTCTTCTTCAAGTATGAAATTCTGGTGAGAGAGTCTGCATCTGCAAGCATGGGTTGACTTTGAACATTGGTAGCTATTATTCAGGTGAGTGTTGAATCATAAATGTAGTGTCCCTTCCACTTGAAAATGGGAACCCTAATCCATTTTCCCAGATTGGCTTTTGGTAGTTGTATGTTGATGTTCCATTTCCTTCCTCTCCACACAAGAACGGAAGCTCAAATTTCCATCATTTCTCGTAAACTTCTCAATTTCAGTTAATGTTTAACCTTTTCTTGCACTATTATCATTTTATTTTCTATTTTATCAGATTAACACAAATCGTGTTTTAAGAAAAATATTATGATTTCTAGGTTTTAATATAAACCAATTGATATATAAAGTAATTGAACTTCAACAAAAAGAAATTGGATATTTTTTTTCAAGAGAATAATCGAAAAAATTTAATTGATTTTCTAGATTTTTTTCTTATAAATAATACGGAACATGGTATATATCATGGATATATTATATTTAAGTTCAGTTTTAGATTAATTTGGATATTATTCAACCTTTGAAATAGAATTCTAAAATGGGTTTTTTATTAGTAAATAAGGAAAAATATTTTAAAATATCATTTTCTCTCTTATTTTTACATTTACATTCTTTCTCCCTGTTAGACTTATGTTTCTCTCACAACTTCCTTTTCATTAATAAAATATAACCCTTTGTTTGGTAGCATTTAAATAGTAGGAAAAATACCAACGTGACAATGAGATTGAAAAATGAGATGAGGAGAGTTTGGTACGATAAATAAAATGACAAAAAATCACTTTCAAATAAAAAGTTTGGTAGGATAAATAAGAAGATAAAGAAAACAATCTCAAAAGAAAAAAAAATATTATTTTAAAAAGAAAATATATGTTTAACTAACTTTCACAAAATTAAGTTGAAAGATAATGTTTATCCTTTATTTATATATTATAATCTAGTTATAATTTTAATTATTATAATTTTTTTAACGTATTTCTTTATATATATAGAAGATATGAGTATTTTTTTAATTATTTTTTATATCAAAGAAATAAATAGTAAAATAATATTTTTAATATTCTCTCTCACGTTAATAATAGGAATACTTTTAAAAATTGTTAGTTATTATCTATAATATTTATTTTTCTATATTCTCTTACATATTTTTCTTAAACTGAATATATATATATATATATATAATATATATATATATATATATATATATTTATTTATTTATTTCTTCTTTCTTACCTCTATTCACTCTATTTCTCACTTATTTATTTTCTTTTTACCAAACACATATTATGGATGAACAAAAATTATGGTTGATCTATAATTTAAGTTTGACTGCTTGTAGGTTGGGAATTCTAAATTTTATATTCATAAAAAATGGATAAAATTAAAATAATCGATTGGTGAATTTTGTTAAAAAGAAAATTTAAAGATTAATTTTTTCTATTTCTTTTAAAAGATATTTTTTTATAAAAAAATATAATATTTTTAACTTTTTTTTCTTCATTTATTTCATATATCATTTTTAAATAATATTTATTTTGTTATTTTTATTTTACTTTCATAACTATTAATCTTTTATTTTTCATTTATAGATTTGTAATCTTAACTATTATTTATAATAATAATAATAATAATAATAATAATGAAAATAACTTTTATTATTATCATAATTTTTTTCTTTTATAAAAAAATTGTTATTATTTAATCATATAATAAAGAAATTATTTTATTAAATTGGATTTTAAAAATAACAAACAAAGGACAATGATTTGATGGTAATACAAGATTTAACACATAAGATCATTAACCTCAAATGACATTCTCAATCTTACATACATTTTGAACATATGATTGCAGGATACATAAAAATACAAGGATACTACATGAAGAGTAGAAGCAAGAGAGGTGAATAGAATTTATTACACCCATGAAAGCAATCCTAATGAGCTCTGAAAATGAAGCTAATTATTGGGTGGAATTAAACAACTTGGCATGAAAATACAAATGAAAACAGGATGATCCTTCAAATTTGTGAATAAAACACTTATTACTTATGAATGATGAATTTCTGTGCCCACCAAAGTTTGACAAAAGTTGGTACAGAAAATATTAATTTAGGTGGTTCTTTCTGAACTAGCCCATAGCTGTTATTGGCACTGCCTCTACCAAGGGCTTTCTGTCCTTAACCTTAATCTCTTCACTGGTTCCTCCATGAAGCTTGTCACGGGCCATGGGAACAAAATCCTCATAGCAATCCTCCAAGGATCGAAATTTCTCAAATGGATAAAGAGAGGTGATCTCAACATCATTTGCTCCTTCTGCGCTGAAGTTAACTTGACAACCCTTGATGAAGATATCATGGGTGAAGGATGCTACAACACTTTGAGGTATGCAGTTTTCTGCACATGTAAGCATCAAAATTCAAAACTGTTATTCATTTAATGAACAATAATGCTCCCAAAAAACTTCTAAAAAACAAAAATTGTGGAACCTGCTGCCTTGGCAAGAAGATCATCCCCTGTTACAGTGAGTCTGGGAATGGTGCGACCAATTTTGATTTCCCATAAAGAAGCAAGTTCGTTGATGGAATAACAATTGCCAGAGGGTCGAAAATGAACATTTTTGTTCAATGTTCTCATATCATCGATAGTCTTCATCGTGAACTTTCCAATGTCATTGCCATCAACGAAGTAAGCTGCACATATAACAAACACCTCACAGTCACTTTTTTTCAATCATATTTTATTCTGGTAATAGGACAATTTGTCTCTCATCTTATGTTCTCATTTTTATTTTATTTTATTATTATTATTATTATTACCTAAACCCATTGAATGAGTTATCAACACTAGTAAATTTAGATTTTCATTTATCCATATTATAAATAATCTTAAACGAGTTATTCTTTATTTTTATTTTTTCTTAATCTCATAATTAAGAATGATTTTTTTTCAAAAAAATTAAAGGACACAAAATTAGGAATAACTCTAAAATTTAACCGTGAGAATATGGCTTTTTTTTTTTAAATGAAACTGGAAGATGTAATTCATTAATTATAATTATACATAGGATCAAAATTTACAATTATGAAACTTGTGGAAAACTGTATTTTTAAATTGAGTTGCTTCTAAAATATTTTTAAAAACAAAAGTACTATTTTAATATAAATCCTATACAAGTGAATTTTTAAATAAGATTATTATTTTTAAAGCTTATATATAAAGTTCATATTAAAAAAATACTTTTATTTTTAAATCATATAATAATAATTTCTTTTAAATATATCTAAACAAGGAATATTTATGATTCAAATTGATTTGATTTTCCATTAACTATTTATTAAAACCAAACATAAAAATAAAATATAATTGAATTTTAATTTAATATAAAATTCGAACAATACCAAATTAACGTTAGTAATAGAGTGAAATATGATTTGGAATTTTTATTATTATCAGTATTAAATATTTTTTAAAGTATTTTATGATAAAAAAATCCTCAAAGTGATACTATAAACAAATTATTATATAACTTTAAATTTACAATCTTACAATTAAAGATTTGTTATCAATTTTTTAATAAACATAAATATATTATAAATAAAATGCAATTAAATTTCAAAACACAGTCTTATGTTTATTAGTGGATAATTAAATTAAATATATAATATTATATTTAAATATAATAAGTAATTTAATTTCATTTTAATTTGAAATTAAGAAAACTTCGTGTAGTTAAAAAAAATGTAAAATATTCAATAAAATTTTAATTTCACTTTTCATTTTTTAATCAGTTTGTAGTTATTTTTGCTTTTAACCTATTAGATTTTGATAGCTTCTGTCTAATTTGATGGAAGAATGTGTAATAGCAGGTGTTGAATTCTACAAATAAAAAAGTTACATAATAGTCGTATTAATAATATTTATATTAATATTATAATTTTTTTACTATTTATAATAAAATATAATAATTAGTATATATTATTTTTGTTCTCGTAGAAAATATATTAATTTTAATTTTTTATTTTAAGATAGAAAAAAAAGTCTTATAAATTTTTTGTAAGGCATTGACATTTACTGATGTACATCATTTGCAACCCATTAAAATCCTTTCTTTACTCCAGTACTACTGTCATATCATTAAAAGCAAAAGAAAAAATTATTTAAAAAAACAAAAAAACAAAATTGAAAGCTCGCTTGTTTAATTAAGATAATGAAAAATATATTTAAACCTAACGATTGATGATACGTACCTTTGACGTTGCCATCACCATAGATTTGAAGCTGATCCAACGGTGGAGGAACCTTGGTTGGGTGACAGTTGTCATGGTAAGGCCAAGAAGCAACGGAGTTGCAGCAGATATTGGTGTAGGGAATACCGTAGTCCTCAATCATACGCCTAATCAAGCGCTTCTCCTTGTACATTCTTAGCCCTGGCTCCACTGGATCCGCCCTGTCCACATCGTGACCGAACTCTGACGGCAGAAACCTCTGTACCGTATCACGTCACCAAAATCAATATTGTATTTTTTATGAAATAACTTTTTAAGAAAATCCATTATACCATTTTTTATCTACTTTATCTTTTATTTATTTACCATTTATAATTTTTTTTATTTATATTTATCAAATAGATAAACATTATTTTTATGTGTTATTTTTTTTTGTAAGTTTAACCGGAAAGAATACTATTAAATCACTTTGAAAATAAAATTGTACAAGAGATTAGACTGAGAAAAAAAAGTTAAGCATTTAAAGAAACAAGACAAAAAAATTGAAGATTTTAAAAGTAAAAAACAAAGAAACCAATAGAAGTTTTAGAAGAGAAAAAAACACTATTAAAACAAAAATATTATGTCATACTATTTAGTTCTGTCAATTTTATGATAAATTATGTTCCTCGCATATGTTTCGCAGTCCACTAAAATTAGATTTTAATAATATATTTTTCTCTTTGAATATATTCTAATATTTCATAAAATGTTAAATAATATATATTTTTAATAAGCTAAAGAATAAAAGTATTTTATTTCTATTTACTAAATAAAAATGAAATAGTAAATAATATAAAAAATATTTTTTAAACTTGTTTTTAATTTCGATTCAATGAGTGGGTTTAATTTTGATTTCTTTAATCTTTTTAATGTGTTATCCTTGTTTTGTAACTACTGATTTAAATCCTTATATAGAAGAAACTTTTGGTTTTACTATAATATTTTTCTTCAAGTTTCATCCACAAAAATTGAAATCATTAATTGAATTTTTAGTCTGACAAATTGTACGTATTTTTCAAATTAAAAAAAATAGAAACATGAAAAGGAATTCTCCTTAAATTTGAACAAATAAAGAAATAATTAAAAAAAAAAAAAGTTTGTGACCTTGATAGTTTTCACGGATTTGATGGCCTCCACCAACGTAACCTGATCCAACAACTCTGAACCCCCTACAAGGGAAATCACGACGTCGATGTCATTCTCTTTCAAAATCTTCACCATGAATTCCTTGTCATTTATCACACCCTGCAAACACGTACACGGAGGATCATAATTTTACCTATATGTGAAGTCACTATCACAAGAAAAAATTAGAAAGAATATATTGCTGTACAAAATATCAAGGACCAAAAAAGGAGATTCTTGGCTGTGGTCCTTCTGTAGGACCACAAATAAAACTCAGAAGAAAGGAAGAAACTTTTTTTTTTTTTCTAATGATGCGTCAATTTTGCTATTAATTCAATGGCTAAGAAAGGACAAAAAACAATTTACAACCTTATCTAAAAAAACGCCAACATAACAGTGGTGTCCTCCACATACGGATTTGAACATATAAAGTAAGGAGTTAACAAATATGGGCAATTCTCGTAGCCAGTTTTATGTCACTCTTTTTTCATGGTAATTGTAATGTGCTAATTTATATCTAATTAGAACGAAATGTGTGAATTATGATGATCACATTTTTTATCTAAACTCAATTCTTACGAATTAAAGAAAAATCAAACCTCTAAATTCTAATGATTTTTTAGATCTTACGTTTTTAAATATTAACACATTTTTGCATGAGAGACTAAAATTATATTGAGTGAATGGATGTGTGAAAAAAAGAGGAGAAAAACAGAAAATGAGAAAGATAAGAGACTTTTCATTTCATGTATGATCATGTTACTGCAAGGATATATGTTTATGGACATAGACAAAACATTATACGAGTGGTGGAGCAAAAAAGTTGTCTAAAATAAAGTTTGGCATAGTTTCACAATTGGTAGGACTAAACAAAATGAAGATGCAGACTCACATGAATAACCTTGGCACCTTTCTCTTGAAAGGTTTTGACAATGGCAGCCTTGGGAGGGGACACAGATTCTGGCCTGAGAAGCAAAAAGGTCGGGTACCCAAAGGCAAGACTTGCCCTAGTGACGAACTGACCCATGAAGCCAGTTCCTCCAATGATCAAAATTTTGTTGGCTGCCGACATCTTCACACTTTTTGTTTGCGTGCGTGTGTGTGTGTTTTTTTTTTTTAGTTTCTGTTTGGCTTTTGGTTTGAGTGAATAAGAGAGTGTTGGCCTCACCACACTAAAAGAGTTTTTGGAAAGACAGACATGAAGAGAAAGAGAATGTGTAGTAAATGGTATGGCTACTGCGTGTGATTAGGGTGGTGTTTTTATATAGGAATTGTCTTGGCCCTACTAATATTGGATGTCAAAAATTAATGGTTCTTAATTAATTGATGATGATAATAAGTTTCAGCTACTCTTCCACCACACCCTGAAAACTTTTCTTACTTCCCGAGATTATAATATGCATGAATTCTTTTGCAAACTTTTGAAGTTTAGTTAGCTCAGACACCGCGTTCATTGTTGATTGTTAGATAGCTATCTGTTAGTTAGCCTATTCAATGTCCCAATGATAGTACAATAATTTCAAGAACCTCCACCACTTCAACCATTATTGAATGTGAAAATCGTTATGAATTAAAGTACAAAACATTATTTTTTTAAAATGATATTTGTAAATACGGGATATAACATTGGATTTTCTGTTGATTGAGTAAGAAATCATGATCATGATTTATGAGAATCACAATTGCTGAAATTATGATTATTGAAAATTATTAACGTCTGTTTGATTATTAAATATTTCTATAAATTTTAGGTAAATAAAAAATAATATGTTGTTTTTATTAAAATATTTAACTAGTTATCCTAATAAATAATTTATAAAAAATATAGTTTTTTAATAATTTTAATATTCTGACTCGAATAAATTAAATTCCATTTATCAATAAAAATATGTTTTAGACAATTCAACTAAAATTCATTTAAAAAAATATATTTTTTATAAATATTAGCTTTTCAAAGTTAAATAAAAAATCGAAACATAATCTTCCTTATTATCTAAAATAGTATTAATTTTAACAATTAGATATTTAAAATAAATAATTATGGGAGATTTATTATAATATTTACTCTTAAAAAATTATTTCTTAACAAATTAATTTATAATAATCATATATCTTCTAATAAAATAATATCACTTTTATTTTTATTTATCAAATAATTATTATTCTATATTAATTTATAATATTCATATATCTTCTAATAAAATAATATTACTTTTATTTTTATTTATCAAATTATTATTATTCTATAAAATAGACCGGATTCATAAATTAATGGACTAATCTGACCTAACTTAATTTGATAATAAAAATGTCTTAAAGTAATATATTATTGATTCTCTCTTGTATAAAGATAAAAATTACATTTATCTATTTAATTAAAGATGGCTAAAAAAAACTCTATTATCTCATTAAAATCAAAATAATAATTATCAATATCAAAATCATAATTACCATCATATTAGTAAAATCAAAATATTCCAATTTTTTTAAAACTAATTATCTTTTATTTAATTTTATCCATCAAAACTCTTTCATAAAATTAAATATCTCTTTGCAACAAAAATAAGATTGATAGGATTGATATCATGACTTCACGATAGAGACGAAACTAAAATAAACTTGATTTAATTTAGTTCACAAATTTTTTAGATCTTTTTAAAACTTTTTATGGGTCTAAACCTATTTTGATACTCCTACTTTTGAAATGTTTTATGGGTCTAAACCTATTTTGATACTCCTACTTATTATTTTAACCAATTTTTTATTCTCATGAAAGAGAAAAATAAATAGAAGTTTTATAATTAAAAAAATAGTTATTATAATTTATATATAAAAAATAGTAAAAATATGAGAAAAAAACATAGAAAAAAGTAAATATATTTAGATAATTAAAAAAGAAAAGAAAATGAATTAATTATAAAAAAAATGTGGACACACTTTAATTAGCACCTAGTAGTTTTGTAAATATTAATTTTTCAAAGTGAAATAAAAAAATAAAAACAAATTTTCCTAATTTCAAAGTAAACGTGTCATCCGTTACAGAAAAAGAAAAATATGCACAAGAATTATAACTCCTGTATTTTTTTCATTCGATTAAAAAAATTAAAAATGTTATAATTTAAATAAAAAATAAATATTATGAATTATAAAAAAATAAAAATATTATAAAAAATAAATAAAAAATGTCAATATATTTAAACAGTTAAAAGAAATTTAATTTATATTTCTGAAAGTATATATTTGTAAAAATCGAGATAATAATATATTATTCACAATATATATTTTGAATTAATGAACACAATTTCTTATTGAATTTTATTTTCAAACGAATTTCTTAAATTGTTATATTTATTTTTTCACTATAGTACTCATATTATATATATATATATATATATATATATATATATATATATATTGTTCTTATTGATTTTATTAACATGTGCATCTATGCATGCATGTTTGAATTTTTATAATATTTTTATTTTAATTTATTAAACTGTAATGTATATATTAATTTTAAAATATAAATATTTCTTCTTAAAAATAAAAGTGAGATAGTTTTCAGGAAGAGAAAAACTGAAAAAAAAAAAACCGTATAACAAAAGAGAGTAAAATAATAACATTTTTTATTATTTTTTATTCAACAAAAAGATTGAATAAAACCTATATAATTAAAAATAATAGAAGAAAGAAATATAACACACATATATATATAATTTTATTTTGTGTCCATGACACTAAAAATATTAAGAAAAACATTTTTCTTAATGATAATAATAATAAAATAGAAATCAACAAACCTTAATATAATTGGAAATATAGAAATTAAAAACAGTTTTTGAAGAAAATAAAAAAGAGAGGAGAGATGTGAGCGAGAATTCTATGAAATTATTATAAATTTAAAAAATATTTAAAAACAATTTTATAGATTTTTTGTAATAAACAAATTATATTGTTTCATGTTAAAAAAATCATAGATAAATTATATAGTGAATAAAAATATAAACAGTATATTTGATTCTGGATGTAAATGAAAAAGGTTGAAGTCAAGATATAAATAATGAAGAAAAAAAATAAAGGATAAAATATATTCTAATTATGAAACTCTTCCTAGTTTAATATTCAGTAGTATTAGATAAAAAGGGAAAGAAAACAAACCTTTCAAAATATTTCGTTTATAAAAAAGAAATAAATAAAAGGAATAAATATGGATAGAAAATACTATAAATATCTTTAATTAAGAGCAAGATACAACAATTAATATTTTTACAGAAATATTTAGAGTAATTTTTGTACAAGTTTAGTTTTTATATAATGTTAATAAGAAAATTATATTATTAATTAATTATTAAAATATTACAATTTTTTACATAATAATTTGTAATTGAATGAGATATAAAGTAGTTTAAAATTATTAATATATATATATATATATATATATATATATATAGATTTTGTTTTTAATGTCATTTAATAAAAGTATAATAAAATAATATAACAAAGAAATAACATAACGTAAATGATGCAAAATCAAAAGTAAACCAAAAAAAAAATTATCAACTACTACGTGCACTTTGACAATTATTTTCAGACTTAAAAATTGACTTGAAAATGGAAAAAATTATGAGAATTCAGGGATTTTGTGATAAAGATATGAACTCTTACAAAATATATAGAGAATCATAAAAAGAATAGAGAATAATAAAATTAACTATTTTTTTCTCAATTAGTAATTACTTAATGAATCGAAAATAGTTTATATCATTTTTCCTCTTTAAAGTAAATTTGTTTCTTAATAATTTATTGTTATCACATACTAATTAAAATATAAACATTGAGATTATATGAAATAATGTTTAACTTAGTATATAAGATTCAAAATTTTAAGAGTGTTGTGATCATCATGAAGATTGATGGTGACAAGGTCATCATTTTCTGCGCAGTTATTTGAGTTGTGAAATATGAACAAAAATAAATTTACTTTTTTTTTTTTGTTATTTACCGTTTACATTAAACAGAAGCATCATAAAATTTTAAAATAAGTTGTATGGAAGATTTATTTAACCTAAAAACGTATTAATTGTATTTTATGATTACAAATTGAAGTTTATTATAATATACTTAGATAAAATAATTGAAAAATGTAAATTTTAATATTAATTTACAATAGTGTTAATATTAAATTAATAATGTAAAAGATTGTAATTTATTTAAATAATTTTTAAAATAATTAATACAAGCATAAAATAAAATAAAATAAAATAAAATAGAAAAGGAATGTAGGGACAAGAATGATTGGATGATTTTTTTCAGCTTTGGAACACTGATTATGAACCTCATATAAGAGTAATGCATGTAGATCTGAAAAAAAATAAAAAATAAAAAAAGAAGACAAAGGCAGTGTTAAAGATATTATTATATGTGGGGTGGGTGCTTAATGATAATGAATAATTTATTTTTGTTACTTTCTATTATTTAATCATGGCAGATTTACAAATACAATAAAACGATTTATTAAAAAAATTGAGATAACTAAAAGACAGTTTTGTAACTATATGTCTTTTTTAATGTTAGGAACCAAAATTCTTTGTGGTACTCAAATTTTTCATATTCTTAGACCATTTTTGCATCGAACAACTGTCAACTTGATGAGAAATTAAGAAAAGAGTAAAACAATATTATAACCATGAGATTGAATTTAAGCTTTAATTAAGGGAAAACCAAATGCAGGTAGAGAGCATTTATACATGAAAGCAAGACACGTAAACATGCAGATCCCTGACACGACCACGTCCATGTGTCATGTCATGGGTGAGAGCAGACAAAAATGCAGCAAAGTCTTTAATGTGTAAGTGCTGTGAGTGTATGTTGTTTTGTTTCTTCTTGCAGTGCTGATAAAGAACTAAAGTTAAAGTTTATTATGCAATTACTTTCTTTTGCTAAAGGGAATGGACTCTATAGCAGTTCTTTCTGACAGAGTAAAATGAAAATTATTTACACATTTAATATTTTGTTTTATGTATATTTTAATTATCTTTTTAACCAGCTATTATTGTTTTATTTTATAATTTATAGTAAACTTTTTTATTATGCAATTTAATTTTTTCCTTTAAAATTCTTATTTTCTTATCTAAATAAATATGATATAAAATAAAATAAATTTGGGTGTTCAAAACATTGTCCCCTACACCGTTCTCCACTTCGTTGCTTCGTGATATTAAGATTCTTCACAGTTTACAAATGTCACATGATATATATTATCTTCAATATTTCGTTATTATATACTTTTTTTTACTGCTTACATTAATATTGTTTCACATTTATAATTAGTCATGTAAATAATTTTATTTCATATTATTTAGGCTTATATATTTTTTTATTTTTATTTTGGATTAAATGAATTAATTATTTATAATTTATATACTAAATCATTATATCTTAAATAAAAAATAATTTTATTATTGTAATTTCAATTTTAAAAATCTATTTTAAATTTTTATTTAAATATTTTTTAATTAATTATTTTACATATTAACTTAATATCGATTAAATTTGACTAAAAATTATGACTTACTTTAAAATATAAAATATAAGATCTATTTTTTTTTTTACGTAAAATTGAATCAGACTCTACCAGAGCCATACATTTAATTTTCAATCATTTCGCATTTTTAATCAATAATAAAGACAAATCGAAAAGTGTTATAATAAATACATTTTCTTCTTAAAAAAATTATAATTCATTAATAGTAGAGTAGGTGTATTATTGGAGGTTGAGCCTATCTCGAAATTATGAAGCTTAAATTGTCTATGAATATAAAGACATAGTATATCCCTAACTCTACTACTTCAAATGAATGAAAAATCTATAAATTTGTGATAACCTAATGATCTGCGCAAAATTAGCTTCGAATATTTCTTAATTGATTCATGACCCACTTTCGTTGCACTAAACTGTTTGCGGTGAACATTTCTTTCCATTTAGGGTTACACATGTGTATGATTAGAAACTAAAACTCTTTGAAAACCACAAAAACAGTCTATTTATGCAACTATAAATCCCCCAATATTAACAGTTGGTTTTAACTTCCAAACAAAAAAACACTGATTCAGATTAACTCACCTCAAACTGAACATTGTCTCTCTTAGTTCTGTATTTCTTATAGATTGCATTTGAAAATCAGCTGTTCAGCCAAAAAAAAGAAAAACAGAACCAATCCGTAAAATAAAATAGAGATATGGCCTCAAAAATAATATGTTATACGATTGAAGTGACTCTGATGGTAGTTTTTGTAACAGCCCAGGTTGCGTTATCTGATGACAATGCGCCAATGCCAGCTGATAAGACACAATTAGGGTCATGGTTTGATACACATGTAACGCCTTTAGATAAAAGAAAGAGTACCTTGGACCCCGCATTGGTGGCTGCTGAACAAGGTGTCAAGATTGTGAAGGTCATGCAAGATGGCAGTGGGGAATTCAAGACCATCACCGATGCCCTTAAAAGCATTCCCAGTGGGAACACCCAGCGTATAATTTTGTACATTGGACCTGGAAATTACAACGAGAAAATCACAGTTGAGAAGACTAAACCTTTCATCACCTTCTACGGGGCACCTGGTAAAATGCCAAACATTACCTACGGGGGCACGGCAAAACAATATGGCACTGTTGATAGTGCCACAGTGATCGTTCTATCAGATTACTTTGTGGCAGCCAACATAATGATCTCGGTTTGTATTCTATCTTCCTTAGTAATCATATAAATCAAACTATCCAAATTAATTCCCTAACTTTTGGATTCATTTTTCTCATCGTTGTTTTTGTTTGTGGTTCATGAACCTGATGCTTTAGAACTCAGCACCAAGACCTGATATAAACACTAAAGGAGGTCAAGCAGTTGCATTACGAATTTCTGGAGACAAAGCATCATTTTATGATGTCCAGCTATACGGGTTCCAAGACACAGTGTGCGATGATGCACATAGACATTTTTTCAAAAACTGCTACATTCAAGGAACCGTTGATTATATTTTTGGAAGTGGGAAGTCACTATATGTGGTATGTAAAATTTCATCAACTTGAGTGTTTGTATACATGAATTGATATAGTTGCAATGCAATAATTAACGAGGATCTATTGTTGTGATGCAGAATTGTGAACTAAGAACGCTTGGCGATGCTATGGATACTTTTATAACCGCACAAGCAAGAAAAAATGAGCAAGAGGACAATGGATACTTCTTCGTACATTGTGAACTTACTGGAACCGGAACTGGTGCTTACTTGGGAAGAGCGTGGTTTTCTCATTCCACAGTGGTGTTTTCTTACTGTAACATGGGTAACATTTTCAACAAGGTAGCCTGGAGTAACAACAATCACAAGGAATATGACAAGTAACTTTCTAATTTCACTTTTCATGATAATGGTTTATATATATTAATGAAAGCGTATTTGGTGCAATTGATACTGATGAATATATAATACATGACCATCTACAGAACTCTATTTTTTGCGGAGTACAAGAACACAGGACCTGGTGCAGATGCCACAGGGCGTTCTCCTTTGACAAGGCAACTAAGTGATTCAGAGGCCAAACAATACATAAGTCTAAGTCTGATTGAAGGATCCAAATGGTTACTTCCTCCCCCAAAAGTTTAATTAATTACTTTGCCTAAGCACTTACGGTGAACCCCGGATTCTCCAATTTTGATCTCTTTGTGATTTCATTGTTCAGACTTAACATTGTTGGCATAAGTGGTATAAGTTACATGATATCGTTATAAATTTTTATTAGTGGATACACACAAGTTATTTACTTAGACATCCATGCTCATAGACTTAGCATCCTTGGTAAAAGTGATTAGAAGATTGAGATTGTAGCTTCAATCTTATATCAGTGGATACCCTAAGCAATTTATGCCCTGTTATTAAAATAATGATTTCAAGCCTATTTTATTTCATTTTAAATGAAATCGATGCGTGGTGTTATTATTATATATGTAGAGGGTTTTAGGAGTGTATAGTTTCTCTACCTTCACGTTATTAATATCCTATGACATTCATTTTAAAACAAGTTATTTCTAATTAAAAGTGAAAAATTAGCATAATTTTAAAATATTTATTTTTTTCCTTTAAAATCAAACAAAAGTATGAAATTATTAACTGTTTAGTATCTAAAACATAATATTTATTTGGACCAAACAAACTTCAATTTTACTTCATATTTTCATTTATAATGATAAATCATATTATAATTTGTTTTGTTTATTTATGCTTTTAATTATTTTTTCACATATCAAGACATTCAATTTTAATTTTAAAATTTTATAAATACTTTTATAGTCAAGTGGATATGAGTTTAACATTACTATTTAGATCTATAAAATTATTATATAATTAATTAGAAATTTTAATCAAGAAGTAATAAGTTCAAGACTTTACATATTTTAATATTTTATATAATAGGATATTATATTTAAAAGTTAAAAATTTAATTATCAAATAAATTCAAGATTTAATAATAGTTTCCAAAATTATTAAATATGTTAATTATCAAGTAAATATAAGACTTAACATAAATATTAAAATTAAAAATTTTAATCACAAAAAGAATGCAATATGATAATCAATAAATTAAAATTTATTATAAACTATATAAAAGAATGTTAAAATAGACTTATATACTACCAGAATTTCCATCATAATTTATTTTAAAGAAATGTTAACTGTTAATCTATTTATTATTAAATATGTAACTAAATTATAATATAAAAATGTAAATATATTTAAAATTAAATTATATATCAATTTATTTTTAATAGTAAATTATTATTTAGGCTGCAAACAATTATAATAACCTGCACGATAATTAAGTAGATGACACAAATTGATAGATATCTCCATATAGCATTTCTTGAAGGAATGTCTGCAACTAGGTATCTTGAAAAGAAACTTAATTTATGATCAAGATGGTATAGAATTGTTTAAAACATATTTAAATAAGAGAAAATTATTCTGAGGATTAGAATTTTTTTGTTTTAATTATTTTTTTCTTTTTTTAAATATTTTATATTATATTTAAAGATATTAAAATAGCCTTTAAAAAATTATAATAATTATAAATATACAAACTACATTAATTATTTATTAAATATTTTATGATAATATATTATTTATTATTCTCCTCTTTAATATAATTTCTAAACTTTTTATATATCTTACATAAATATTATTCAATCTCTTTAATTTTTGAGAAAGTAAACTTAGAGATGACAAATTTAAAGTTAAAGAATATAAAAAATTTGAGATAATTTGAATTAATTTCTCATTTTTAGTTGCTGAATTTTGTCCGTGAGTTATTTTAAATATTGTTTTATCTTTCACCTTTTCTTCTTGAATTCTGAAAAATATTATTATCATAATTAATATTTTGAATATTAATCACTTTCTTAATCTTCAAAAGATTCTAACATGAAATTGTAACTAAGAAAGATACTCATTTTAAGATAATTTATTGAAGACTCTTTTATGTTCTATGTTTCAAATGATGTGATATACTGGTGTATTATAAGTTATGATAATAGGTTAATTTTTATTAATTTTTAATTTATTATGATTTTATTTTTAAAAAACATTTCAGAAAAAGAAATATATATAAATTATCATTAACTTCTGTATTTAAACATGAAATTTATAATCATACCAAAATATAAAATATTTTAAATACATTTAAATATAAAACTCGTAAACATACTAAAATATAAAATATTTTAAATTCATTAAGGACGTATTTTCTGATAGTTCTCAAAATTTTTATGAAGCTATCACTTAAATTTTTAAGTGTTTTAAACTTTTTAAATATTAAAGTACTTAGTCTAATATCGAGAAGAAAAAAAAATACTCATTAAACCATATAGCACACCAATTTTAACATTTATCTGACACTTCTTACTCTTTTCTTTAAGAATGATATAAATGATTTTTCAAAGTATACACCATTTACATACTTCATTTTTCTTAATTATTATTGTAGTCCAAACATCATATTTATTTGATAAAACAACTTAAGTGTCTAAGTATTGTATGGCACAAATAAAAATAATTTTCTTCTCTAGTCATTAAAGTGAGTTTTCTCTCATAATTTAGAAAAAAATGAAAATGTTCTATTATCAAATTGAGTTTTCTCTGGTGAGAGAGAATGAAAAGGTTTTATTATTTTCATATATTTTAAATAAAAATTATGCATTTTCCATTCCCAAATGAAAGAGAATAATCATGTTCTAAAATTTTCAACTGTCATCAAACTTTCATTCAATTGGCACAGAAAGAGTATCATAAAGTACATTCCTTATTTGCTTTATTGAAATTCTAATATGTTGTACTTCCATTTGCATGTAATCTTCATTGTTTAACATAACTTTTTGAGGAAAATGAAGAATTATGTTTAAAAAAATTTATTTATAATCATATGATTTTTGCAACTTACATAAATTCTTGTCTCTTAAGTTGTCCTTTTTCACACAAAAAAAAAGTTTCATTATTTTAGTAAATGAATTGTATTATTAATTTGTAAAGTGACCACTTTTTTAATATACCAATTTTTTTCTATTATTTGCTTTTATTTAATAATTTTATTTCTTTATGATTATTCTTCCTGTAGATTTCACAAAATATTTTTATCCCATTATTTTGTCTTTTACGAAGTTGTAAGTTGTTAACTTTTGGATAACTTTTTTACTGTCATTGTTTTTTACTCTTTTTTTCTTTTCAAGATATATCAGCGGTATTCTATACAAGATGTTGATATAACACTAAAAGAATTTATTTTCTGTAAAATTATATAAAATGCTTTTTAACAAGGAAGATAATTTAGGGATTGAACTACTTTTTATTTTTTATTAATTTTTTTCTCTTTTTTTCTTATATGTTATATTACATTTAGAAATATTATAAATTCTGAAAAATAACTCTTACATTTCTATATAAATAAAAAATATAAAGAACCACATTATTACTATTTAATACTCTTCAAAATTCTTCACTATACATTTAAATTCCATGGGACAACACATTATGAAATTATCCACATCAACTCTTACTACCTTCTCAAAGTGCAACTTCACCTTTAATTTGCATTACTTGCCCTAATATCTCTTTCAAGATATCTCCCTCAACACCCATGAATCATGAACAAAATCTTCCCATCTTACAATATCATCAGGATATTTAATTTATTCTTAATGCCAGTCACATCTTAAAAACAAAAAATAATTTTCATTTGAGCACTTTATCAATCATAATTTTTCTCATCGAAGATAACAAAAGAATTTGATAAATTTTTTATTTTCAAAATCTTTGAAAGACAGTCTTTTAGAACAAAATTACTTTAGGATGCCATTGAGTTTTTCACCAATAAAATATCATTTTATATAAGAATTTCTTATACAATATCTTCATTTGAACATGTAGTTCATAAATCATGATTAATTAAAATACACATAATAATTTATTTGTTAATTTAAAGACACACTTGAAGTATAATATCATCAGTAACAAAATCTTCAGTATTGTATTTTCAATATTTCGTAATTAATTATTTTTTCTACTTACATTATTGTTATTTATATAACAATCATGTAATGTTAAACAATTAAACAATCATGTAGTGTTACTACTTACATGAGTCTTGTATATATATAATGTTAAACAGTTAAACAATTAAACATATTTTAACTAATCATGCAGAGAATTAAAAGAAAAATATATGTTAAAACAAATACAGTTTCAATGAAAAATTATAATTCCTTAACCATTTTAGAGTACATGGAATATTGTATGTTAAGACTATCAAAAAAAATTTGAAGCTCTAAATTAACTTTAAATATATATTATATCCCTAACCCTACTACTTTAGGAAAATGTGCCATAACCTAATGATATATGCAAAATTACCTTTCAATATTTCCTAACTGATTTGAGGCCTACTTTTATTGCACAAAATTATGCCTTTTTTTTTTTTTTGCGTGAAGAAAATAATTTCCATTTAAAGTTACACATATGTATGATTAGAAACTAAAACTCCTTGAAATAGTTATCTTCGACCAAAAAACAGTCTATTTATGCAACTATGACTTCAAATCCCCCAAATTTTAACCCTTCGTTTTAGCATCCAAACAAAAAAAATCACCGATTCAGATTAACTCCTCAAAACTGAACATTGTCTCTCTTGTTCTGTATTTCTTATAAACTGCATTTGAAAACTACCTGTTCAGCAAGACAAAAACAAAGAAAAAAAAAAGTGAAAAAAAAAAGTAAAAAAAAAAAAATGTCGTCAAAAACAATATGTTACACGATTCAAGTGACTCTCATGGCAGTTTTTGTAACAACCCAAGTTGTGTTATGTGACAACACGCCGATGACTTCTGATAAGACACAGTTAGGATCATGGTTTAATATTCATGTAAGGCCTTTAAGTCAAAGAAAGGGTTCCTTGGACCCCGCATTGGTGACTGCTGAAGAAGGTGCCAAGGTTGTGAAGGTAAGGAAAGATGGGCATGGGCAATTCAAGACCATCATCGATGCCCTTAAAAGCATTCCCAGTGGGAACACCAAGCGTGTAATTTTGCACATTGGACCTGGAAATTACAACGAGAAAATCACAGTTGAGAAGACTAAACCTTTCGTCACCTTCTATGGGACACCTGGTCAAATGCCAAAGATTTCCTATGGAGGCACGGCAAAACAATATGGCACTGTTGATAGTGCCACATTAATCGTCCTCTCAGATTACTTTGTGGCAGCCAACGTAATGATCCTGGTTTGTATTCTATATCTTCCTTAATAATCATATAAATCAAAACATCCAAATTAATTCCTTAACTTTTGGGTTTACATTTTTCTTATCATGGTTTTGGTTGTGGTTTATGAACCTGATGCTCAAGAACTCTGCACCAAGACCAGATCTAAACACTGTAGGAGGTCAAGCAGCTGCACTACGAATTTCTGGAGACAAAGCAACATTTTATAATGTCCATCTATATGGGTACCAAGACACAGTGTGCGATGATGCACATAGACATTTCTTCAAAGACTGCTACATTCAAGGAACCGTTGATTATATTTTTGGAAGTGGGAAGTCACTGTATGTGGTATGTAAAATTTCATCAACTTGAGTGTTTGTATACATGAATTGATATATATAGTTGCAATGCGACTACTAACGAGGATCTATTGTTGTGATGCAGAATTGTGAACTAAGAACGCTTGGCGACGCTATGGATACTTACATAACAGCACAAGCAAGAAAAAACAAGCAAGAGGACAATGGATACTCCTTCGTACATTGTGAACTTACTGGAACCGGAACTGGTGCTTACTTGGGAAGAGCGTGGTTTTCTCATTCCACAGTGGTGTTTGCTTACTGTAACATGGGTAACATTTTCAACAAGGTAGCCTGGAGTAACAACAATCACAAGGAATATGACAAGTAACTTTTTAATTTCACTTTTCATGATAATGGTTTATATTAATGAAAGCGTTTGGTGCAATTGGTACTGATGAATATATAATACATGACCATCTACAGAACTCTATTTTTTGGGGAGTATAAGAACACAGGACCTGGTGCAGATGCCACAGGGCGTTCTCCTTTGACAAGGCAACTAAGTGATTCAGAGGCCAAACAATACATAAGTCTAAGTCTGATTGAAGGCTCCAAATGGTTACTTCCTCCCCCAAAAGTTTAATACTTTGCCCATGCACTTGCGGTCAACTTTCCCCTCTCTTCGATCGTAATTTCATTGTTCGGACTTAACATTCTTGGTAAAAGTGGTGTAAGTTAAATTATATGATTGTAAATTTTGATTACTCCATACACAAGTGGTGTATTTAGGGATCCATGCTCATACACTTCGCATCCTTGGTAAAAGTGATTGGAAGATTGAGGTTGTTGTCGCTTCATTAGTTTATATTAGTGGATACCCTACTCAATGTACGCCCTTGTTATTAAAATTATAATCACAAGTTATTTTAGTTTATTTCATTTGATTCCAAATGAAATTGATGTGTAGTATTCTGTGTACAACATTACTTATTTAAATACATCAATTTTACACTTAAAACTCTGGACCAGAAAAATAATAAATATTATTTATGTATGTTATATGAATCTATACCCAGTTATATCAATACATTTTATAGTTGAGTCAGTATACATAAATTTAATGGGTGCAAAGTTGTCTACCTAATCTCCGTTTCGATCTATTATCACTAAACAATGTCATAATTTATTAAGACACATTATTTTTTAAACTATAAATTTAAATAAAATTAGTTTCTAAAAACACAAATTTAAAATAAATTGTACAACAAAATGTAACCTTAAATAAGATTAATCTTAAAAAAATAATTTCCTAAATCTAAATAAAAAATATAAATTTATAAAATCAAATTATAAACAATTCTTCAATTTTAATATTTTTCTCATCAATATCTTTTTATTATTTTTAAAAATATTATTTTTATTCTAACAAAATCCAAATAAAAATCATTAACGTGCAAATATAAATATCATGATATTCGTATTTTTGGAGTAATTAAAATATCATTGTTCATTATTTTATGGGTTTCCATTAAAGAGATCCCTACTCAGGGATTTATCTTAACAAACTTAACCATAAAGACTTGTAAGAAAAAAATAACAAAATTAAAATAAAATAAACTTCTCTCTAAACTAAAACTAGTAGTTTATGTACACGTTAAATTAATATAATTTATCTAATATATTTTACCTGAATTCTTATTTTAAATCTGCCAATAAACTAACTTTAACTTAAAAAAATAATTATTTTCTCTTATTTTTAACCTCTAAATTTTTTTATAAAGTAATTTATCTAAACAAAATTGTATTCCACTGATGTTATTATTTCTTTATATATATATATATATATATATATATATATATATTATTGTTTTAATTTAAATGTATTATCTATTAGTAAAATGTTTAACTACACACATGTATCAAAACAATATGCTTTTACCAAGATTTGAAGTAAAATAACATGATTTCAAATATTTTTAATTTTTTTAAAGACGGATCAATACATATTACATATTTGAAGAATTGGTAAAATATATAAAATCAGAAAATAAAATTCAATAAAGCTTAAATAATAAAATTCATAAAATAATAATAACAACTTAGTAGTAAAATAAATAAGTAAATCTATTTCATAACTTGTGTTCCACGTACATGAAATACACGGAGACGAAGATTGTGCCACTCATTCAAAACCCAATGCAGAGAATACGAACAGTCAGTCAACGACCACAACGAGTACAGTCACTACTTTAATGATTATTGTCCTTTTTTTTTTTATTAATATGTAATTAATATTCTATGACAATTCACATTCACACATAAGTGTGCAACTGCAAATTTTGAAAAGCATTATATAATCCGATGGAAAAAAACAAAAAAAAAACACTTTAATGAAGTGAGAAAGAACTAGTATCACTTTTTATATTATTTATCTCATCTTAACTAATACAGTTTAAAGTTTCAGACTTTAGGAAAGCAGAAAAGGAAGGCTTTGAATTGAATCTTCAAACCCTCTCCTATGGCTGGGTAAGTACCCTTCTCTTGTTTACCATGTTTGATTGTTCAACACTATTTTTCACTTGGAGTTTCCTTCTGGAACATCATAGTACAAACTGCTTTTGCAGCAATATTTCTTCTTTTGATGGAACCCCATTATTATGATCTAAATAGGGTTACCTAGTACGATGTGAAAAATCATGTCTTTGCGTATTCTGGTTGGGTTGCTTCGTCTCTGTTTTGTTCATTGTTCCATGATGGAAAGAGAAGTGAAATTTCGTTCATGGGGTTAGTTTTGTGCGAAAAATCATAGTTTTAGGTGTTTTGGTTTGAGTTTCTGGTTGGTGGGTTTGTCTCTGCTTAGTTTATTGTTCTATAACTGAATGAAAATTGGAAGGTCTTACATGGCGTTATGGCAAGATTTCTTTTTTTTTTTTTTCCATACTTTGGTTGAATTTCAGTGTTGGGTTCATCCTACCTACCATGTTAATAGTTTTATGATTGAAAGGCAAATGGAAGATGATGAAAACAATTAAAACTTGATCTTTCTTTTTTGGGGTTTTCATTACCGTTTTGATGTCGATCCTTACTACTTGTTTAAACTTCACCAAGTTGGAATGAAGAGATCATCAGCTGGTATTTGTTTGTTTTATCTAAGTTTAAAGGAAATACCAGTCCACTGCATAATGTGTGTTGAGGTCTGATATTGATTAAATTCCTAAATCCACGCGATGGCCTTATGCAGTTATGTTGTCACATCCAAATAATAAACTTTTTGTCTTGATAATGCCTTTGGTTACGCAGAACATCATGGTTGGTGGACAAAAGTAGAATTGCGACCAAAATAAAATGTGCATCAGGAACGTGTGATCCTGGAAAGGTTATATGGAAAAGCAATCCTACCAAGCCTTGCCCAAATTGTCATCATGATATTGACAACAGTGATGTATGTGCAGTTTCTTTTTTAAAATTTAACTGTTGGTTTCCTGATTTGACATCATCAGTAGCTAGTACATTTTATGTTGGTAAAAATTGCATGAATCTTAGTTTATTCATGTGGAGTGCATTTGTCATTTGTTCATTTTCAACCTCCCTTATCTCTAGTTTAGTTTTATTTACATCAGTGTGCATAAGTATTTTTTATCATACTCATGTAAGTTTTCCATGTATTTTATGGTGACTCAGTTTGATCAGTTTTCAATTAAATATTTTTATGTAACAACAATGGAGTGGTTATGCAGTTATTTCCACAGCAAGACTACAATAAATTGTAACTAGGTGAGATTGGGCTTGCTGTTTTAACTGAACTAAATATAAAGTTAAATGAGAAAGAATTTAAGTTTTAAGTTGTAACTTGGAATGGAAATAGCTACTTTTCTTCTGTGTTAATTTCATTAGAAGTAAGAAACATTAATATTCTAGTTTGTAATATAAAGTGCAAGCCATTTGCCCTTACTTTCAGTTTAAAAATATCACAGCCTAAGTCTACTTTTGGGTATGAGATATGCTTATCTGCTTGTATTTTCATCTTTATATTGTATATCATTTGCTTGGATGTAAAATTGCTCAATGTACTGATTTTAAACTATAGTGATCATGATTATCATGCAAGAAAATCATGGGTTATGTTGAGAGTAAGAAGCCACTATCTCTAAAGACTAAAATAGGGAAATGGATTAGCTCAATACTGGGCCGAGAATGAGTGAGTGTCGGCTTGAAACCTGTATACTTAGTGGTGCTTAGTTGGTTTCTTTTCATTTAGTATTATGTAATGAAATGTGGTAATATGACCTATGCTTTCATGGAATGAGTTGGGTTGGAATTTCCCAACTCACAAACTGAATGTCCAAACCCATCTTTGTTACTAGAGAGAGTATTATCTATTTGTTCTTTTCACTTTTCATGCCACATGTTTGAATTCCTAGAAAGATATCCTAAAAGTTGATTTAGTATTTAGTTAAAAGTTAAAAATTTAAAACATAATGAAGGTATGATTTAAACTTAATCCTTTAATCCTAAAGTCTAAGTCTAACACTTAAGTATGAATGCTTTGCCATTTGAATTTTTTTCTCTTGATAGGTAGCACAAGAGTGGCCCGGCTTACCGAAAGGTGTCAAATTTGATCCATCTGATCAAGAGATAATGTGGCACTTGCTTGCAAAAGTTGGGATAGGAGATTCGAAACCTCATCCTTTCATTGATGAATTTATTACTACTCTTGAAGTGGAGGATGGAATTTGCTATACTCATCCTCAAAATTTACCTGGTTGGTAGCATGAGTTTTGTCCAAAAATTTGAGTTTTTGATTACTTTTCAATCAATATGATAAGCTGTGATGAAAATTTTAGGTGTTAAGCAAGATGGAAGTGCTTCCCACTTCTTCCATAGAGCAATCAAGGCTTACAACACCGGTTCCCGAAAGCGCCGAAAAATACTAGGTCAAGATTTTGGTGATGTCCGCTGGCACAAGACTGGAAGAACTAAACCAGTTGTCTTGAATGGGGCTCAAAAAGGCTGTAAAAAGATTATGGTTCTGTATGTGAGCAATGTAAGAGGAGGAAAAGCTGAAAAGACTAATTGGGTTATGCATCAGTATCACCTAGGAATAGAAGAGGATGAAAAGGATGGGGAGTACATTATCTCGAAAGTGTTTTACCAGCAGCAGCAAGTCAAATTGGGTGATAAAGATGACCAAGATGTTCCTGAAGCCACTGAAATCACTGAATCAACAATTGTGAAGGTGGATCCAGTCACTCCCAAATTGGTGACTCCTGAGCCTCCTTGCCACGAAAGGCAGTGTGCAGATCTAGACCTAGGACAAGAAACACATAACATTCCACAGGTAAAACCTTAAACCATATTTTCTTGTTATCAAATATCTGTTACCTATTAATACTCTGCCATGAACACTTTGTCTGTTTGCTTTTGTTATTGGAAAAGTATTTGTATAAGATAATAAGATGATGAATGTACCATTTCAAATATGTAGGTAGATATTTGTACTCGGTAGAAAGTCTTTTTAATCTATGAAGTCTGATCTGATACCTGTTTTTTCTGTTAGGTTCCTTGCTTTACACCAAAGAATCAAGTATTTCCAATACTCAAACAAAAACCAGAGAGAAAAAAATTAGAAAGAAAGAGTGACTTTCTGCACCTAGGAAAAAAAAAAAAAAGAAATGTACACAAGTTTACCCAAAGGAGCATTCTCCTTTCACACTGGATTTTCCAGTCTATTGTGCAAAGATACCCTTTCTTACTGGACCAAGAGTTTATTTATGCCTGTGGGTTAATTATACCTCGAAACTACCCAACACTCATTAATCTCCCCACTTATTCTTTCTTCTGACATACACTTTTAAAGTCTGGTTGGGTTGTTCAGGAAAGGAACTCGGGTTTTGTGGGGTGCTCTAGTATGCGATCGGTATAGTATTTAAGTGCTTAATTCTTCTCCCTTAATATCTAACTTTTGAGAATGGGTTCCCCAAGTTCTCGGATACTTATTAATTAGTTTGGTTGTTGGTGTCTCGAAAATGGTTTCTGATGAAGGGTTTTGAGTAATGGGAATCTCTTGCCTAACATTTCCAGATGAAAGTATAGTTTATTTAGCACAATGTAAAAGAAAGCACCACTTGTTCAGCATTTTGACGACTAATATGTCATAATCAAATGTTGCTCTTGTTCCCTTCTTTGGTTTCTTCACTCAAACCTTTTAAGCATTTAATCTGAATTTGACATGCCCTTTAACAAATTGGGTATCCAAAGTAAAATGACCAGGGGATCAAATACCTATTATATACAAGTAGTTTTCAGTAGTAGTTTTATGTGTGGAACGTGTAATTTTCTTATGTAGGCTAGTGATTAGAAATGGCTTGTGTTCTGATAATTTTGGTGTACATATTTATATGACGTGGATTCTATCTCAGACACTCTTCTTAATCCCAGAATGTAAATTAACCGTATATCTAAACTTCTAATACTCTGTTACTTGCGATGATTTAGTTTAGTGAAATTTTAAAATACCACTTACTAAATTTGATTATTCCTTTCATTTTGTGTTCTGCTTTGAAGCTACCTCAGATGGATTGTTTACATGAAATTCAAGCTGATTGCCAAGAACTTCCAACTGAACCATCCATGGTAGAATCTCAAAATGATGAAGGGATAGATAATAAAGAAAGTAATGCTGAGGAAGGTCAAAAATGGTGGGACAGTGAGTCACAGAATCTGTTGGATTCACAACAACTGGTTGAAGCCCTGTCTCTGTGTGACGATCTCGTCCAAAGCCAGTCTCCAAGTAGAGATGGAAAAGAGGAAGGTCATAGGAACCAACCTGGTCTTTCTATTTATGCTCAGCTAGGACCAGAATATCTGAAGAAGGATATTGAAGAGTGTCAAAATCTTGTCCTTGATCCTGCAAATATAGAGAATGATATCTCTCCAGAGTTTCGATTAAGTCAGCTGGTATTTTGTGCTCTTAATGATGGTGTGAAAATGAAACAACTTTAATGTCATTCTTATGTGTTTTCTTGTTTTTGTAGGAATTTGGTTCACAGGACAGCTTTATTTCCTGGGGATACAGCAACAAGGCAGAGAACTAACTTGGTTCTTCACTTCAGCAAGGGAAACCGATGTTTTTGTAACTGCATTTTGTTGTTGAGCTTCCTTTCATAATTTTTTGGGCAAAATGTTTTTCCTTTTTGGATGAAGGGGTAAACTCAACTGTTACTACTTGTCTAATTGGACTGTAATGGAAGGCAGTGAACTTCATTGCTTGAGACTTTGACCAGCTGGTGCTGTTATACCTTGTTTTGGCTTGTTCATGTTGTAAGCAATCATAACTCATGTTCAAGGATATAATGATCGATTATGCTTGATGTTGACCATTAAATGTTACTGATGATCACAAACTCAATAGATTTGAGTGTTACATCCTAATTAAGCATCCACCCAAGGACATGCAAGTTGCATAGTCTTAAAAAACACTGTAGTAGAAACCTAGCCTACTGGACTCTAGAAACATGCCACCCTTCAAACCCAGTAGCATTGTCACAACTGTAGTAGAGTTGAGGGTGCTCCACATGTCTTCATAAATGAATGTGAGGGATAATTGCATTGAAACACCCTTGGTGTTAAATTTATAGATGTTAAGTGTTAATGGTTCGAAATAAGAAAAGTATTAATAATAATTTTTTCAATTAGCAGGAGTTAATTTGTAAAAAATATATACATAATTAATGTCAACCTTAAGGGAGGTGGTTATCGTAATTATGATGCATTTGGATAGATAGTTTAATTGAGTGATTATGAAATAAATATTTATTCATATTATTATTTATTTACTTATATAAATTATTTTTATGTTTAACATGTCACTAGGTTTGGATTTTTGAGATTTTTTTAATTAAGTTGTAAAATAAAAAATATATTATTAAGTTATTAATCTTCTACAATTTTTATATTTGGGTGTCTAGACCTAATAATATTGTTACAATTTCTTTAAGAAAACTTTAAGTTGTTATGAACTAATTTTAAGCACTTAAGTACAAAAATTGTACAATGTCAAGGACTTTCAATTTTCTAGTTTAGGGAAAAAGTTCAGGAACCTATAGATGTGTAAACTTAATTTTCATAATGAAAGAGAAAATTTGGTTATAAACTAGATTTCATATAAGCTGTAAGCTGTTTTATAGACAATGTTAAAAGAATTTACTAAAATAAGCTAAAAATAGTTTATGGACATTTAATTTTTTCTTTAAAAGTTATTCCAAACACTTAAGCTATAAACAACTTAAGTTTTACTATTAATACTAAATTTTTGTATTCATATTATTCTTAATCCTAACTGTGTTTATTATTATTATTATTATTATTCATACTCCTGGTCCTAAGTTATTTTACAAAGTATCTGACAAAAAATATCATCAAAACACAACTTTTGACTGAGTAATAATTGAACTATGTTGGTTAGCTGAAGGGTGACAAGTTCATTGAAACAAAATGTATGCCTCGAACCTTATACTATTAAAGTTTGGTCTCTACACTGTCCTGCTTACAGTAGTGTTTTGGGATGTTATAGAGCTGTACTCTATAATGTACATATAATGCAGCATGACTAGTCATATGCATGCCTTAAATTTGTCTTGTTTTGACTCATGCACTTGCGTGTGTCTTTTCTTTTCTTTTTGATTTTCAGTAGTTTTGGATTATTTTTGCTTGCATTTTACTTTAAAACACAAGTAGAAAAAGTGTTAGATCCATCCAGAAGAAAACTTGGACCATTTGGAATGATAGATCTGAATCAAAATGAATTACAACTCACACCAATCCTCCAACATGGCAAAAAAACTCTTGTAATTTAGCAGGGGCTTGTTCATGAAGTGTCCAAAGATTCCTTGATGGACCAAAGCTTAATGCTGGCTTCGCTGGTCACTAGTCGGCACAGACAAATAGGGACATGAACAACCTCTGCTAATCTGGCTCTGACAGTGACGAGGCTCACTCTTTCAACTAGATTGTATTATCCATGGTACCTTGTCAAAAATTCACAACAAAATATTTCAGACATGGAAGAGTAGTCAAAGGAATCATGACACATTTCTCCTGAGTTTTGTTGCTTAACCAATAAAGTTTTGGTTGGTCAGTGAGAACAACATTTCTTTTGTTTTGGTTACAAAGAAATAAACTGGTGTGAGATGGAGATTGCATGATAAGATTCAGGTAAAGTGGTCTAGTTTCAATCCAGAATCATTCAATTCTCTAAGAATTTGACCAAGGGTTTTAGGAAAATATGTTTTCAACATCAAAATGGGATAACAAAAGAAGTGTTTCCTTTGACCATAGTGTGTATCTTCCAAATAGGAATATTAGCAAGACACTTTTAATAACATTTTATAGAACACATTTTTTATTTGTTAAAAATTTCTTAGAGCCAGAAGAGAAATTCATTGAATAAGAAGTGAGTGTGAGCCTTAAATTTTTAATTTGTAATAACTTTCCATCAACAAAGAAGAGTGTGTTAAAAAGTATTTCTGGGAATGAAAGATAAAAATAATTATACATGCTCATTTTTAATTATATTTTTTTTATAAAGAATACGTGTCACCATTTTACTTTTGAACATCTTAGAAATAAATGTGGCGATAAAATTTAGTGATTATTATTATTATTATTATTATTATTATTATTATTATTATTATTATTATTATTATTATTATTGGCTGAGTCATATCATATTATCTTAGGCAAAACGGATAAGCTTATGTCATCTAACTGTAACCTAATAAAAACAAAGATAGTAATTTTTAATTATTAGGTGATTGACATATATGTTTTTACTGTAACTAAGATCATTAATAGTTTTCTCAAATTCCTAGATGCTTTCTTCAAAAATAATTTTATCTAAACCTCTTCATATCCCAACAAATTCTGTAATTTTTGAATTAATTTTTTATTGTATGTTTTATTCAATTATACATTTCTTTTTGTGGTTTAGTATTTTATTTAAACTCACTATTTAATAAATTTTACCAATTCTATTATTCCTGTTTTTGTTTGCGTATGCCAAGTAAAATATAAGGAGAGTGCAATCAGATCAATGTTAACATGAGAAGGATTCTTCCAAACCAAAAAGAAATAAATAGATAAGGATTTGGAGTTTCACTTGGAACACGAAATCATGTGTTTGAATTATTGATTTTTTTAAAAGCTTACAATAATAATGTTGCTAAAAAGAAGTTACAAGTATAAATGAAATTGATGGCAAGATGTATAATATCTCATTTGAAAACTGATATTTGTGATATTCTCTCCAATTCAAATGTTAAAGAGGACTAAAAATTGAAGATTGAAATGAGAAGAGGGGGATGTATGAGGGAAGCATAAGGACGGAGAATGGTGTAAGAACATGTGTTGATTTTGAAAAGAGAAGCAAGGTGGTGGGGTGGGGTTTGCGAAAGTGAAGGTGTGCACGTGTCCATGATAAAGCTGCCATGTTCAGAAGGTACCTTCTTCTTTCTCCTCATTTCAGGTCACCGTTCAATAACATGCCTCTGCATCACAATTTTTTTTATGTTTATCTTTTTCTCATGCACACCATATATCATAGTAATGAAAATACAAACCAATAGTTTTTCATAAGTCATAATTAAAAAAAAAATTTAGAAAATTTTTTACCCAAATTTCCAATACGAACAAGCAATTTATTGAATTGTGGTAAGATGAGAGTTCTAATTAACCTTTCATATTTAAAGTAATTTTGTATCTCTTCTTATTGTATATTATTTGATGTGGGATTTTCAGTGAATATAAAGTTAGGAACAACGTAAACAAATTCAAGTGACCTAAAAAAAAATAAAGACAGCTCAATCCTTGACCTTTGTGTACATTATATAAATAATTTTTTGAGTGGTTATGATCCTCTGTCATGAGGAGGCAGTATGGTGTACAACAATGCACACGTGAAAGTGGGGTGGAAGCAGATGATGACTCAGAGAGGCCCACAACACAGATTTGACCACAGAAGCATTGCAATTTGTTTCTTTCTTCCCCCAACCAAATTGGTGGTGTCTGCTGTTTCCAAATTTGCTGAAAACAAATAATTGTTGAACCATTTTCATTTCAAATTAAAAGGTTGATACATGTGTTGTTAGGTTGAAGACAACATGCTCAATTCACATTCCTATAAATACCAAGATTGCAAGACAACAATATCTGAATATCCCTTATTCTACCTTCCCTGTGCATACCAGCCCTAGGTCTTGCCTTGGTTCTGCACATTCCATGTTTCCCACTCTATCTAACCATCAATTGTTTTTCCTCTTAAAGAAAACATGTGTGCAAAAATGTCGAAAGATTAGTCGTTCTTTTGATTAAGGATACTATCTAACTATCTGTTATCATTACTTTGCCTAAATTATTTGTTTGCTACTGAATGTCTTTATATAATCTCATTACATGGGTTGACCAACTTTATGGATTTTTTCATTCATGATGTAACATGACATGGGTTTGGTATAAGAATATTTTTAATTGATAACTTCCTTTTATCCTATTTTAAATACTTTGTATTAAAATCAGTGTTAGATTAATTAACTTTTTAGTTTCTAAATTGTTTCAATTTTAAATAGGCTTCTATATTTTATAAGTTGGTTTAGCTACTCATTTAGTTAATTATAATATCTGCTCAATGTTTATGTTTCAGTTCCTTAAACTTAGAAACTACCTTTTATAATCTGTATTTTTTAACTTTTAGCTTCTACTCGTGCAATTTTTAATTCATTTTGATACTTGTAATTTGTGTTGACAAAACTAACTACAAAGTGTATGAATAAAATAAAATGAGTAGTTTTTAAGTATACAAAATATAAAGATTATGCAGTCATAGAAATCATTGAGTAATTAAATTTTAAATTATACAAGTCTTTGAACTAGTAAATTATTTTTAATGGTGTCTTTAAAGCTAAAGGGAATAATTTTATCATAATAATTAAAGTACAGGGAATAGTTAATTTTTGAAATTAATCTAAGGACTGAATAATTAAAGGAGTTATTAGAAGGGTGCCCCACAAAGAACCACTCTATTATTTCATTTTGGTTGAAGCTGCAAGCACTTTATGGATATGACACTTTTGGGTAGAGGGAAAAAAGAAAGTGTAATCCTAAACTGTAATGTCAATGGCTGCCTAGCAGTTTTCACAGTCACAGCAAAATCCTCACTTCAAATGATTCATGAATAAACATTATTTTGCCATTATTTCATATTTCTCTCTAAAATTATGCTCCTTTTTGTTTAAATAATCTTACTTTAGCACCTAAGATCATCTTACTTCATAGCTTTTGCACAAGTGAAAGGATACAAAACTTTATTTTTACCTGAAAAACTTCATTTACCCCTAGTCATTTCATGAGCCAAAACTCTTCTGTTCGTACAGTTTTGCTAAGCAATTAGGTTAGGACAAGGGACAAGTTTGTCAGACAATGGCTTTGAAAGATATAATCAAGTTTACAACTTGCTCCAGTTGTGTGTGACTGTAGTAAAGAACACTCGGGTAATTCAAGCACTATTAATTTTCCTTCTTATTCATTTTGAATAAATGCTAATCTACATTGGAGTTGTACTCTTCTCTCTCTGGAAATTTGCCAGCAAATCTAAGAAAACAAACAGTGTTGAAAGACTTGTTCTGGTTTTGGAAGACATGTGCTTGATAACACTTGCAAGTTGCAACCATGACAAGATAGCAAATCAAAACTTCCTTTTTATGAAATTCTTACCAAAACCAGAAAAAGTCTAAAAAAGATTCAGTGAAGAAAGATGTTTTAGGATGACTTTATTCTAATTATTCATCATTGAGTTAACTCTTAAGTGATCAATACGATATGTATCGTCAATATATAGTAGTATTGTTGTACATTCTTAATATGCAGAGTCTATGTACTAAAAAGTGACTTAATCAGATAAACATAGATCTTTCATGAATGCTTTTCGTCCATGATTCTCATGGTTATACTGCAAAGCAAAACAAAACAAAGAAGGCCACGGGAAAAATAGGTGATTGAAGTTATTGAATGTTCAAGGAATTTGGAAGACATAAACTTAATGACTCCTCCAAGTTAATCAATGTAAAGAACAAAGAGTAAGATGGATTTTGGACATATGATTTGTTGACATGGCTTTCATTATAATCCATGCTATTCCGATATACATATATAGCCCAGCCATGAGGACCAGCAACCCACAGTACAAAACTTGTTATACTCTCTCCCATGATATCTCGCCGATTCTATTTACACTCCACCATGAATCAGAGGGAGAAAGAAAGAAAAAACAGGAAGAGAAAAAAGGAAACAAGGAAAAAAGATAAGAAACATAGAAAGAACTATTCTTGCATTTCCATGGAAAGAGAAGCATGCTTGGACTTGAAGTGTTGAAAAACTAGTCATGCCAACAAAGGAGCATGACAACACATCTTCTTATAATGTATAGCCTTGCCCTTTGCTCTCTCAGGACTCCTCCAAATCCTCTGTTTGATGATATCCTTCTCTTTGATCCTGCCATGGAAGCACTATCCATCTTCATTTCTTCAATGAACTCTTTTTCTGTGCTTGCTCTTAGAAATGGAAATGAGGTTGTACTCTTTCCTTTCTTTTTTACCCTCTCTCGTTAGCTTTGAGCTTGTGCAACTTGTGTTGTGTGTGAGACTTGAATTAGAGCTGGTGTGAGGAAGGGTTCTTAAAGAGGTTTCAGGATGTGGTCCTAACACACCTTGGTCTAGTAAAGGACCAGCGATGGGGCATGAAAGGGTGTGCAGTGCCTCCAAACCCACCAGACAGACACCAATTGGACCCCACCTCACCACTTTGGAATCCATACCCCAATAAGGGGGAATTGATAAAACAAAACAAGCAATTGAGCCAAGCTTCTCTTTCTTGCATTGCCATGTCTCACTCTATATTCCTACGTGTAGGCAGGCACTACCCACCAGCATAATGGGTCTGCCATTACAAAAATAAGGTATTACAACCTGCCCTCAATTTCTGCATGGAAAATTATTTGTCTTCTTGTTCATGAGGACATGAGCATTATCTTCTTATTTTTTATAATCCTTCTTGTTTTGTTTTCTTCTGCTCATCTTTGGTTGGATCCACATAATCAGGGAAATGACTGGTGGATAGGGGGTTGGTTTAGTTGAATCCTACATAACAATTCATAACAGAAATAACCATTAGAGTGTGTTTTCATTTACCATCATAATGGACTCTTACGGAAATGGAATGTATAAGTAGGGTAGGGGCTAAATTATCAGCATCAAATTTTGCATTTCCTTAGTTAAAACAAAATTATGTCTAGCCAATGGTACAAAATCCTGAAATTATGCACATATTAGGTGATAACTCAAGAAACAAGAAACCGAATTTGATGAGCCTAACCCCATAATAAGGAAAACTTGAATTTCCTTGACTTGTGGAAAGGAGGGTGTAATATGATAATCCAATTCTAACCCCTCTCAATTTGATTGTTAGGTTGAGCTCTTGCAGTTACAAAATGTTAAAATTCGACCCCGTCATTGATTACTTGAATAATTCCACTCTTTTGACCCACTGCAGGTGCTACCTAGCTAGTTCTAAATTTACAGAACCTTTTCACTGATAACGTACCCATATTGTACCTATTTAGATACCGATATATGCGTTTGTATTGAAGTTAATTGTCAGATCTTTATACCTCTTAATGTTTGTTTTTTCTTTAGATGATAAACGGGATCATTATTATAAAAACATAACATTTCGATTTAAATTTGAATAGATTAATCACATGTCAAATTGTTTTACACTGACGATACATAACCATTAAAGTTTATGTAATATATTATTTGATATATGGTCGCATCCAGATCTTAATTTTACAAAAAGATGTGTTTATGATATCAGTCATACTTGTATCTCTGCAACACATTGCATATTATGTGGTTTAATATTCACCATTTAAATTCTTTGGCCTTTCTTAGTAAATTCTAGACTGAGAAGTTGATTATGGGATGGATTTATCTACCTTAATTTTTTGTGCTAAATACTTACCAGTTTTATGAATGATTAATGTGTTTCATTGATAATTAACTGATGTCAAAAAAATCTGTTTGATCACATTTTTTTAAATTATGTTTTTTTATCTGCAAGATTGAAATCAAAAGGATGAATTTTGAGTTCAATTCTACCCAGACACGTCGTTGATGATTGGTTTAAGGGATGGACTTTGAATTTAAAGAATTGTGCTTGGAGATTTTGTTGATATTACTTTAGAATCAGATGGAAAAGGCTGCAAAATTGATTTGTAAACCAACTAAACATGCGACATGATTCTGACAGTTTAGGAGGAGACAGCAAGAATATGGGAGCAACAATGAAATATTTGCATGAGTTTAGGTTGAGGCTTTGAATCATAAGATCCTTTACACATGATCATAGTCCAACGTTCTCTTTCTCTTTCACACTGACTCTTCTCAACAGAAAACTCAAAATACTATAAGAAGAAAGAAGGACAATCAGAATTAAATATGGTTCAGCATCCCTTGCCCCAAAAGGAAAATAAAATAAGCCAAAGTGGCTTTGCACAAGCCAGAAAGCATTTTGCTAATGTAATGGATCAAAAGGGTAAAAAAAGTTGTTTTTCTCCACTGCAACATCACATAGGGGGCATGAAAAAAGTAGGCAAGCCTGAGGACGTTAGTTTCAAGCCTTTGACTAAGATTCCATAACATGGGGTATTAGAATAAGAAGAAGCCACACAAAATTTTATATTAAAGAAATCAAACTTAGGTAAGTGATTAGTTAAATTATTAATAATTAAGTACACTTAGGTAAAGGCAAAGAGGAGCATCTACTTGCTCTGCCTCGTGCTCTCCCCAAGCCACTTTGGATGCCAACCTGTTTTCAATGGATTGTTTATGCAGTTTTAAGCACTTAATATCGAATTAGGCGCTTGTCAGTGATTTTTTGCTGCTTTTTCAGCCTCTTCCTGTGTATGGAAAACAAAGGCAATCAAATACTGAAATGAAGTCTTATATTTGATGCTAACTCTTTGAGAATATGTTTGAATAGGAATAAGGGGCTCCACATCTTTTATTTAGGAAAACGGAAACTGGTTTATATAAAGATGGTAAAACATCGGAGTGAATCATTTTGATAGGGCCTGTCTCACTAAAAATTCATCCAAAACAGGTCGAAATCCAATAGCACAGGCAGGAAACTTTGTCTCTATTTTCTTTTTCTTTTTTTCATTTTTCATGTTTTCTCCAAACATATATCAAGGATTATTAGATCAATATGTCATTGAATAATAAAAGGTACGTTCAATTTTATATGAATCAATTAACTAATTAATGATAAATATATCTTAAGTTTTTTTTTCTTTCAAAATTATCCCTAACTTAAAAACACTTACAAACATTTATATTTGATAACTATTTAGCAAATTAAAATAAATTACTTTAATTAAAATTATTTTTATAAATAACCAATTAATACAAGAGACGGTTTGGATCAATTCTTATATAAAAAATTACTAAATTAAAATGTAGATATTATTTACCTTTCTTTGTTTGTTTTTTTTTTCAATTTTAGTTGATAAATTTAAAAAACCCTCAATTTTAGATACCATTTATATTCTATTATGGAATGGGACCCTAATATATTTAATTAACCTACCATAAGAAAAAGGAAATAATTAAAATTTACAGTAAACATATGCAACATTAAAATTACAAACTTCATACAAAAATTCACTGATAAAAAACATACTCATAATTTTTTCTGTAATTTTAAAATCATGCACGTGCAATGCATGTGATCCTCGAGTGGATTCATTTGTTGATTGAAATGGTTGAAGGAATTAGATGAGTGGGAACTTAACTTACATGATGTAGATAAGACAAAGAGTGGTAAAATTAATGTCTGAATTGCACTGCTAACAACGTGGTCCAACCATGGTATATCTTGAAATCTACCTTCCAGGTTTTGTTTGAAACTTAAAAAATGGTTCGGTTGTAAAAACAAGTCAGATTTGCACGTGAAGTTCTTGTGATTCACACCACCATTGCCTGCATTATAATCAACATTTTCTATTAAACTAATTCTTAATTAAACTTCCATTCTTTAAGCCACGTCTCATCTTCATTCCTGTGTTGATGCTTGTTTATTAAGGAACAACCTCACCATATGTCCCTTCGACCCACATCCCCATATAGATCTTAGTTTCAAAACTATTCAAATAACCACCACTTTCTCTGTTATATGTATAAAATAATCATCTGGCTCGTCACTCAGTTGTTTTTTTTTTTTTTTTGGGATATTTTGTTCATGACTTTCTGTCAATGCTGCCATGGATGAGTCTGCAGGTGCCCCTGCTTTAAATTCAAAGGACAATTCTGTGGAGGACATGTTAATTAAGCTGTAGAAATAATTGACTGATGATAGTACTAAATGATAATAAATACTTGTTTTGGAATTTCATGTCACAGTTAATTATGAGTACTTTAATAATGGTGTACTTGCAGTAATAAAAACTAATAGAATTATACAAAGTTACAAGCTCTTTTCCTGCTCTAATGTCTATGGGTAACATTCAATCAGGTTTGATATATACTGACACAGCTAGAAGGAACTTTAAGGAAAGTTCCATAACATGTTTTTATCATCATTTCTGTTCATTTAACAAAACCTTTTGAAAAAAATACTATATAAATGTGCTTGCACGTGAAGTCAAGAGATTACAGGTATGCAGCATCATATCTCAGTTAGTCTATGGAAAACAAAATAAAATTACAGTTAGTTTTTTTTTTCTACCATTTCTTAATTCATATTGAACATGTTATATCTGAATATGAGATTTAACTCTGATATACAAACTATAGACAAAAAATTTGAAAAGGAAAATGGGTATTTAGTATTTACAATTTTCATTCTTCTCTTGGGATCCATCTGCTCCACCAAAAGCTTTTCCTGCGTCTGTTGAGCTCATCCATACTCTCATTTAAGGTTCTTATAATTTTCCTCTGAAGTTTAAGGGCTGAAGCTAGAGCATTTCTTGGTGCACTAGCCTTCTTTTTGGGTTCAATCTCCTACATCATGGGAAAAGAGTGATATAAGATCATAAGTAGTATTTATATAACCTTGTTAGGGATAAATAATTTGAAATATAAATGTTTTCCTTCAATCCCTAAAATCAATCCTCTCTTTTTGGTGAATTATTTACAAAAATGTATCAGTATGATCCTTCTTTTCCCAAACAAAATTCTTTTGGAAATAGGGACCACGCATGACACATTTCATGAATTAGAGATCAAAATGAGATGACTTTTTAGAGACTAAAAACAAACTCTGCCCTATTGAAATGGACAAAATGTAGTTAACCCTTACACAACAATGTCAAGTTATGAGAGAGAAAGGCACAAAAACAATTATAGTAAGAATAGTCATTATTTATGTAGGGTCCATTAATTATGGTACTGTAATAAAAAAAGAAAAGGCTTTTATTGGAATTCATATGGAAATGCATTACAAAATCAGAGGTGAGTCTAATCTTATACATCTCATTAAAAAACTTTTCACTTTTAACTCCTTCACCAAGGACACTGATTAGGATTTGCCTTACTTACTATTAACAAGGGAAGAGTGGTCACAGAATTAAGATACATACTCTCAGTTCCTGAAGCTGAGCTTCAGTGAATCCACCATCTTTCTGTGTCCCTGATTTTGCCATTAGATTGGTAATCCACTTGGCAGCTTCTCCATAGTCCTGCTGAGTTGCACGCAGGAGCTGCAGCCTCAATGTTTGCATGAAAGACAATGCCAACAAGCCTTCTCTGTCAAAGTAAGGATGAGCCAATGATGCTTTTGCACTCAGCCTTTGTCTTGCTTTGTACCTTACCATTGATTTGAGAAGTTCCCATCCTATTCCACCATCCAAATCCAAAAGCTCAAAGCCCCTCCTCAGTTCAGGGCCACATCGAGGCTCTACAGTTTTTCTCCATGCAACTATGTCATATTCACACCTCTTTAATTGACGATTGAATTGAACGAGGCTATTATCAGACCGTAGACCAGGGAAAGCCTACAAGAGAATGGTGTAGACTGTAAGCATTTCAAAGTACCAGCTTAATCAGATTGTTGCTTGGATAACCCTTTGCCACCTTTTACACGTTTCACCTCATTAAAACTAACCTACCGAATTCTGAAAAACTATTCTACAAGGACAACAGTAATATGATGGTTCAAAATGATCAAAATCCAACAAAATGAAAATACATGGACAAACTCGTTTTAACTTTCAAAATACTAATAAGCGGAGCTTCGTTGTGATAGTACGTTAATCTACATAATATTGATATCATATTGATTACAAACCTTGACTGATTAGTTCCAATAATAGGAGCAGAAGTCATCATTATTAGATACTTACCATTTGAAGAAAGATCAAACCAGCACTATAGATGTCAAATCTGTCCGGCAAATTCAACTGTTGAAAACATGAAAACGTCATAAGCAACAAAAGCCGACTTCATGACATGATAAAGGAAGCTATATGTGCTAATAGTTCATAAGAAATATATAACCTGCCACAAGACTGGGGAAAGTGCAGTTGCAACTGGAACTGAGGGTGCTGATGGAGTTTGTGTGCTCATGATGTACTGCTCTGGTGCAGCATATCTGAATTGGAAGAATTGAACGCTTCAAAAATTGCCTACAGTTGAATATCATATGTCTAACAAAGACATGGGTTCAATGAGAATACGTAATTTACATATAATACTTCTATTTACTATCTTAGTGTTATGAATCAATGGTCACCGCTAGAAAGTAGCTTCAATTTTCTTCTTTCCAGATAAGGAAATTTATGATTGTTGGGTTACCAATTGGAATATACACAGCATATAATCTTCATTCTCTGGCAGCTTTTATAGTGAGGTTGTTCAAACATATATCTGAACTCTGCAGTGATATTAATCATGAAACAAGAGGTAAAACTGACCAACAATAGACCTAATGAATCCACCCTTCCCTGGGTCCCTCATGGCTGGAGCTTTATAGAATTGGCCCCATATTTATTGGTATTCTGGTTCACATCCACTGAATGAGGATATTTACAAATTACATAGCAAGTGAATCTAGAAAAAATAGTATCTTATATCACATCTGGTTCAATTTCTTCAAGGACCATTTTGAAAATATAGAAATAAGAAAAAATGAGAAACTTCACAGATGAATTGATTATGCACAAAAAGCAGAACTTCCAGCAGATTAAGTTCAAAGTCAGTTGGCTACTTGTGTTATTAATGTCAAAGAAGTACCTTGGGTCCAAAAGAAACTCCTTTGGAATGTAGTTTATGCCCACTCGCAAGTCTGTAGCAGCTCCAAGATCAATGATTTTGAATGTACGAGAATCTGACCCATGGTTTAAAAAAAATGTGAGCTTATTTTGATCATGGTCCTTTTTGCATTGGACAAAAATCTCTAGATTCTTTACCTTCAGAGAAAATAATGTTCTGTGGCTTAATATCCCTATGCACAATGCCAGTTGAGTGAAGACCATCCAGTGCAAACAAGATCTGCCTCATGATTGTTTGAATGATTCTATTTTCTCTTTCCAATCCTTTGGGCAAGGCTTGAACCTCACCCAAAATTAATGTTTCAACCTGAAATTTGTGGCACCATCATTTGGTCTGATATGCAGACTTCAATCAATCATGATTTAGCATGG